CAAGACCGCTGGTTCACGAGACATGAAACTACTTTCCAAGAGGCTAATTATTTCTGTAACTGTTATTTTCATACTGTGAAGGTCATTATGTACACCAGGATGGCAACAAATCAGCAAAAGTTCTGACAGAAAAAAGTCCATGTGGATTTCCTTCACAGCAACCACCATGAAAATTCCTTAATTTGCCTTGCTTCTTTTCGGCGCTCCTAGAAGAACACATCAGGTAGAAGAATACATTGAATTGATTATCTATCACTTAAATGGGCTCAAGAAGGAGCTGGTGTTGAATGTTCTACAATGATGATGGATTTGCTGTGGTGGAAGACCAGACAGAGATGTATCCAACTGAAACATTGTACCTTTTATCAAAGGTTTATCTAACAAACCACAGCCACAAATCTAAGTAAATTCAAACCTGGACAAGGTGAGTCATTACGCCCACACCTGCTAGAAAGAAATCAACAGCCAGAAAGATTTGAAAAACACTTAAGCATGCAAATTCAATTACAAATGCCACTTGATGTCAATGAGTTGAATTTGTGTAGAAATATATCAGCATCAAAACAGAAAGTAACAACTCCTGATAAATGGTAGTTCAGTAGTGAACACAAACATTCTGCCCAACTTGGAACTTTCCTTTTTAATGTAGCAAATATTAATGGGTATCTATTGTTGAGATTACCTGGAATATTAATTTAATAGTTGACATGAATGGTATCTATTGTTGAGATCACCTGGAATATTAATTTAATAGTTGACATGAATGGTATCTATTGTTGAGATCACCTGGAATATTAATTTAATAGTTGACATGAATGGTATCTATTGTTGAGATCACCTGGAATATTAATTTAATAGTTGACATGAATGGTATCTATTGTTGAGATCACCTGGAATATTAATTTAATAGTTGACATGAATGGTATCTATTGTTGAGATCACCTGGAATATTAATTTAATAGTTGACATGAATGGTATCTATTGTTGAGATCACCTGGAATATTAATTTAATAGTTGACATGAATGGTATCTATTGTTGAGATCACCTGGAATATTAATTTAATAGTTGACATGAATGGTATCTATTGTTGAGATCACCTGGAATATTAATTTAATAGTTGACATGAATGGTATCTATTGTTGAGATCACCTGGAATATTAATTTAATAGTTGACATGAATGGTATCTATTGTTGAGATCACCTGGAATATTTACTTACTAGCTGGCATGAATGGGTATTGATTCTTGAGATACCTGGAATATTGATATAATAGTGGACATAAATGGGTATCTATCGTTGAAATCACCTGGAATATGAACTTAAAACATCTGTGGAATAAAATGTTACCAAATACACCAAACATACTGTTTCACTGAAGAGAAAAGTTGATTATGTCATAGATGCTCTGCAACTATTACATAAAACAATTTCTGTACAACAGTCAACGAAAACTGAAAGCAATAAGATGAATTGGCTCGTTCTTCAAAAACTAACCCCCCAAAACGCCCACCAGAAGGGCAACATTTGGTGTAACTGACCGCTGGTGACATGACAAATACTATACTTTGAACTGTACTGCAGCAATATCATGGCATGTTTATGTGGGCGGGAAAACACTATCTTTGATACTGAAAAACATAAATGGAGCAAACTGAGATTTGAACCAAGAATCAAAGGGTTCTGGCATGCCCAAGGGAGACGACTCTGAACAGGAAAATGCAGTGCCTTAGAAAACTGGGACACCCAAGCACCCTGAAAATCGATGATAAAAATGAATTATTTATACATTTTTCAGCTTTAATCACAGCAACTTCTTTATGAAGCATCGCTTTGTTGATTCCAAGTCAAATAAGAGTGTGTTAATCGATATTTTGCTCTCACAGCAAGTTCTTTAAAGTCAATCAGCATTAAGCAATGGAATGAACGAGCATCTCACTTTTTTGCTTAATCTCAATGAAGTTGAAAGTGTTGATTCAATGGAATAAAACATCCTTTAACACTAAAATATACCAGTCAAGATTAGTTTATTCTCATTCTGAGAATGTCCTCCACAAATATATTATGAACAACAATGTGTACATAAAGATCAAGATATTTATTTATACCAAAATCTGTTCTTGAAATATGGAATGAAACTCTTTAATGATACTGGCTCTAATTTGTTGCGAGTTTAATGTCCACAGTTTCTGTTATGGATACAGTAGCAAGCTTACTCTCTTCAACATAATTGCCTCTTCCACAAGGTGTTAATTCTGGCAGAAATAATTGCACTGTTCATGCATGAACAGAGGCTTTTAGCTAATTACTAATCATCACCAAATGTTTGACATGTCCAGTCATCAAGCAGTCAAATTTCTAAAAGGATAACAAAACTAAACAAAAACATATCAGTAATGAAGAACTGTAGGAAACAATACATTCAATTAGAAAATTAGAAATCTACCAGAAGAAACAAACAAGTTGTTCTGTCTACTGTGAACCCATCCATGTTATTGGATGCATGTACATCAGGATGTCCATGATTCCCACAGGGAACTTTGTCCTGCACTTGGACTCCTGTGCCATATTGGTCCATGTGTTCTGTGATTGTCAAGAGAAATGACAAAGCTGGGAACTGAGTGGTCACAACTGCTGCCACAATGACCACATCTGTCTAAATCCAACCCATCTACCTGTAGTCAAGCTTCAGTTACTATGCTCTAAACTAAGAGTGAAGTGTTCTTCCCCATACATACAGCAAGTTAGTAATCCACTGAAGGCAAACAGGAGGCTGATAGCATAAGTACAATGTATGATGAGAATCATTTCACACATTTAACCACCGCTCAAAATTTCCATCATCCATGGATGGTTGGGAACACTCATATCCCAGAATCTTGACAGAGATGAAGCTATGATGTTCACAAAAGTCCTAATACTTGAGTCTCATTTTTCGCAACCAAATAATAATCTCATAATCATTTGCCAATATAAATACCAAATACTCCATAACCTTAAAAAAAATAAAATACACTTTTTACAAAAAAGTTATCTTGAATGAATAATCACCAGAACCCACACACCAATATTCTGGATAATGCCCATTTTGGACCTGCCAATCCTAAAGTACGTGATTGGCTATTTATGTAAGTCCATTGGAGCACGTAATGGGCAACATTAGAGCCAGGAATAGACTGTGATCAGCCAGGGATATTGCTTCTGTATATAGTCAAATACTCCTTCTTAGCAATACCCAACAGATACCATCAATTCACAATAAGGTCAGTCATCATATAGATGACAACCTTGTATTCATGAGGTCATCTAACAAGGTGGTCTTCAAATCATGACACTTTTTTTTCATCCCCAAACTGTCTCTTCCTATGCTAGTACTGCCAAACCAATCTAAGCCGTGCATAGTTACTGGCTTTCTCATCACCGTCCAAATAGAGATTGATAACAGTAATTATATTTGTGCTTCGATGCATTTTCTGAACTTTCATATTCTTCGATGGATTTTCATCAAAGCTTTTCTTTATCAAAAAGAAATACTACACTACAAGGTTATGAAATATTAAAGTATCTCAAGAAGTTTCCAAAACTGCAGAGAAAAACTGTATATTCATAACAGTATTATCATAGCTTCAATATTTCCTTCGGAGAGATGACTACATTACAGGACTTGTCTGTCATCATGTTCGAACATAAGGGTTTGTTGAGTGTCCTGGTGTCCTTAAGGATTTCTCCTGTGGTATTAAAACTAGGGACCATAAATCTTCAACTTTTAACATTGGGGTCATGATAAGGACTGATGTTCATACTGTCAACCACTGGTTAGCCAGGCAGTCTTGATTTCACAACAATCTTACTCTCATTCTCAGTAATGTCTCTCGTAAAAGTTGTCCACTCATCAATATCCTGGTCTGCCTTGACTCACATTCCTCCAGCCAAATAAATCTCATAATCAACATATCTCATTAGCTGCTTCCCAGCACTATCATAGCCCAAATTAATTACTTTGCTAATTATCCACCTCGTTAATCTCAGTTGACTGGTAATTAACAACACCTTATTCCAGTTCATTTAACCCTGACCTACTCATGGTCCAGTGGAGCAATGGTGTCTTTGAGATCACTTCATCAGCCTTATTGACCACAGATTCTCACTTGATGAAAAATGTCATTGCCCCTTGATGATTTAACGCTAGGACTGTTGAGGTCGATATAAATTAATGTCTACCTGGAGATGATAAGATGCATTCCAGAGAGTCAGGCCTTAATTAACAGAACTACCAAGTAGGATTCTCACTCCATCCCACACAGACATATTCAGGGCCCTGACCTATAATAACTGATAAACTAACTAATTTTAGTTCATAAATACTTCAAAAAGACATTTCCTTAATATATTTGAAAACATTAATGTTCGTGAACTAAACAACAACACTGAAATTATCAAATATGATATGTCAATTGAAAAAGGAAAATATCTCCGACATTTCTTAAGACTGAACAAACACAGTCTATCTTTTGTCAAATGTAGCAAAATTCTTCCGACACTTATAGTACTTATTATTTATTTATGCATGTCTTGAAATTTACAAACATGCAAATATACTTATGCATTAAACATGAAAAGGAACAAATGCTCCTCTGATATTTCAGAAATTGTGTACAGACATATTGTGTTTGAACAACTGATAACAGTGTAAGAAATAAGCCAAAAGTCCAGCCAGACATCAGGGCCGGTGACTTCAAAATGTTACCAGCCCAAAATGGATTTAACCAGACCAAACATGGTGAATTTACTCAGATGAATGGAACATCCCAAAAAAATTACCAGTCCATCGGGCTGGCTAGCTGTAAATTTAGACCTTCCGTCAGAAATCTAGACCGTCTCGGGCGGTCGGACAGGCCTTATTTCATACACTGCTGATAAAATCCTCCTTACGTGTATGATAAAAGCCAGTTCAACTGTCCTCACAATATCTTTCTTTTAATACTGAGATTTTCTGTTACAGGTCTGTTTCCATTGGACCCTGAGCTTTGTGTGTTGTGGGTGACCAGTGATGTGCTGATGTGCACTGCTTCCATCTGGCACATGTGCACGATGTCCATGGATCGTTTCTTCACGCTGAAATACCCCATGAGATATGGCCGAAATAAGACCAAGACTATGGTGCTAATGAAGATATTTTTTGTGTGGGTTGTGTCCATTGCAGTGAGCAGCCCTATCTGTATACATGGATTTATCGACACCTCTGTAGTCTATCACGACGGATTGTGTGTGCCCACACTGAAAAACTTTGTAATTTATGGCTCAATCTTTGCTTTCTACATTCCCCTTTTAATTATGATTGCAACATATGTGTTGACAATTCGAATTTTGTGGAAAAATCAGCGTCTGATGAAGAGAATAGAAAGATCAGACATGCGTCCCCGCCTTACCCATTTAAATCAGGATTACAATCTATCAATCCCGCGTCTGCTGACATCATCCCATGATGCATCTGCTTCAAGGCGTGTCAGTTTCCCTGACAGCTTCAAGTTCAATACCTCATACCTAATGCCTCCAAGACGTTCCATGCCTAAACCAACTCAGTCTTCCAGCCCCACTCAGAGTCCTGAAGCTTCAGAGACAGAGGATGATGAACTGGACCCCAAAAGCTCCACACAGCTCCTGGATAAAAGATCCCAGTCCTACAAGTCCCTTTGCCGCCATGGAGAAGACAACCTCATGCTCAGATCTCGTTCTAAGGAATCAATCTACAACCCTTCATTTGAGGCTTCTGATGATGAAAGTATCATGGACAGAACAGAGATGAAAATTAGATGTACCAGGAACTTTTTACAAGTTCCATCTCTGCCGTTTAGTCGACAAGGTCGAGGACATGCTCTTTATAATGCTGTATCGGACACCAAACTGGATTGTCATAGCAAACCTAGTTCTCAACCAAGGGCACCATTTCATCACAGTGCCACAGGACTGGATAATTCTGTGGATTACAAAACACGGGAGTGGGATAAGAGGTTTTTCCAGATCCAACAGGAAATGGATCAGTGTCTCCAGGATGCAGAAAAGGAGAAATTCCGGAGAACCGACAAACCAGAGCTAATATTCTGTGAGGATTTTGTTCGTTATTCCCTTAAACCTTTGTGTCACTCTGCTCCCAATACCCCTTTGAGGTCAGGATTCATATCAGACTCAGGGGATTCACTCGATGACAAGGATACTAAATCTACATCGTCAAGTTCAGATATTATAACTATACACTTGACATCACCTAAAAAATCCAAAACTTCTAGCCCCAAAAGCCTAACACCAAGAAGCCAAAGTCCACTATCCCTTCAAAGCCCCAATGGCGGGCTACCCCAAGATATGATCAGTAATCCTCCTACGGATCTACTTTCTCCTGAGGAGGAACACATAATGAGTGAATCAGGTGACAACAGCGCAGCTGAGAGTGACGACCAGCAAGGAATGAGACTAAAACAGCGGAATAAATTTAAGAAAAGTTTCAGAAACACCCTTCGTATGAAAACACGACCAGTGATAAAGCACCTTTTATCAAAGAAGACAGCCACAAATGAGAGAAAAGCTTCTAAGGTTCTAGGGATCATATTTTTAGTGTTTGTGTTCTTGTGGACACCATTCTTTATCGTGAATATACTGTCTGTGACGTGTGAGCCTTGCATGGAGAAAGTGACAGCCACCATGATGTCTGTGTTTCTGTGGATGGGCTATGCAGCCTCTCTTGCCAACCCAATCATATACACCATGTTCAATACAGCTTTCAGACGGACATTCATCCGGATACTCACATGTAAGCTGAAAAGACGCACCTCCAAGTACGCCTCGAGACAGCATTCATGAGTTACACCACTATGATGAACACTGACAGGAGGAATACAATGACTGTTCTTATTAAAGACGATTCAAGATGACTGAGATAGGAACATAGGTGTAAGGCTCAATCAAGGGATCTCAACAGATGCTCTACTTAAACTGCTTATCTTCTTTGTCTATCAAAATAATGCAGGGATTTATCTGGGACTGGAAGACAGGTGGCCTTGGAAATGAAATGTGCGGTAGGGGGAGTGTGAGAATTAGAGCGAGTGCGAGACAGAGAGCGAGAGAGTTTAGTTTTACGCCGCTTTTAGCAATATTCCAGCAATATCACGGCTGGGAACACCAGAAATGGACTTCACACATCAAGACAGAGAGAGAAAGATGAGAATTGTGTTCAAACTTGGAATTTCCGTTAATCAGTATTTTCTGAACATCAGAGGCATTTTACATTGCATTAAATACCAATTTTTCATCTTCCTGTTTATTGATCCTGCTGCTTGAGAGACATAAATCCCTTGCAAATCCACACCATTGGTTCACAACTACCAGTATGATAGAGTAACATGAATTTAAAATTCCACTTTAGAAACATTTACTGACATTTTCCACAAGCGAATGTCACCTCTGAGACAGTCCAGATAAATCCCTAAAGCTTCAATCATAAATGCCATAAATAATCAAAACATGAAAACTGAAAAACATGAAATTCCAACAATGCTGTAACAACCAGTTAACAAACATGGATTTCAAAATATTTCCATCTTATTAATCGGTTATCACAAATAGCATGTTCTACATTTTGAATATTTATGGCATTAGGACAGATTTGCATTTGTGCCAAAAATTGGTAAAAATGTTTTCAGATTTTAAACTGTTTGTGGCTGTATTGAAAAATATCATTATTTTTTTCAAGTGTAAAGTATCTCTTGAAAGTCCTATTGGTCAAACAAGTTGCTGTTAAAACCTTCTGTTGATATGTCAAGTTTCATTGTTGATTGATTCACTTATATCCATTGTGTTTTGTTACATATTGTTTATTGCTATTTATTGAATATAATATACACAAACAATCACACCATGTTTACACCACTATGAAAATATAAATCATCCAATGGAACAGTAAAACCTTTCAATTAAAATTTTAGTAAATGTTACCCTGGTTGTTGACCAAAGATAATATTTTTGGATTATAGGAACTTTTTTCATCAAACGTGTTAACATTGTACATACTTGGTGGAATTTCGTTATTTAACTGATGTGTACTCAATATTGTCTGTTGTAATTGAACAATGTGCCAAGTGTAACTCTATTAATTATATCTTGCAATTTCATAATTGGAAAAAATAAATGTAATTTTTTGTGAAAACATATCTGTACCGTTGTGCTAACTGAAAGTCAACTAACAATTGAAGTACAGAAAAATCACTGAGATACTGGGATTTTTTAATATTTAATTTACCAATTTGTGACAGAAAATACTGAAAGTGCCACAGTTGTTTTGTGTACCAGCACCCTGGAAATATGCTCTGAAATACTGTTACTGTAGAATTCTCATTGGGCTGAACCAACAGACCAGTATCAGTGGCAGTTAGTGAACAGGTGAGCATACAGAGATAACTGTTGGCAATTTGTGATCTTCAAATACTAGATAGTAACTGAGGAATGGCTGGTTACCCCATACCCATGCATAAATCAGTCACCCTATACTGAAGCAATGGTCGATTGTCAAACAATATGTTGAGCAAAAATGTGATCTGATATCAAATGCTTCTCCTAAATATATTTTGAACATTGCATGTAAACACAATCACAGTAATCATCATCATGTACAACTTACAGCTTTACCATTTAAAGAATATGGTTATTAATCATATGAAAAAAGTGGTTTCTGACTGCGATGGTTTGTGAAAATACACAATATTAGAAACAAACTTCATTTGATTAATTGATTATTTCTGTATGAATACCAAGAGTAATGAATGAGAACATAGCAACCATCAATAGCTATGACAATTAGCGTGTTGCAGTAAAGCAGAGATAAATTGTATCAGACATTACAGTCTGTCAAATCGGCACCATTCTAAAGAACCAGGTTTTGAACAAAAGCAGTTTGATAATACATGCACATGATCATTAGATTTCACATATGTAAATGCATTTAACTTGGACAAACCAGCCACCAAACAAAGAATTCAAATACTGCATTTCAAATTTCAATTTCATTTGAATTCATTGAAAAAGATTACGAAGCTGAAAGGTTACTTTAAGAACATGTATCTCTGGAGTTATCAGAGAAAAAACATTCATGCAAATAAGTTTACAAAATATGCTTTGCGTGGTATCAGTGTTTCTCTATGATGAGAGATAAATGCTAGTTTTTCTTGAGGAAGCAGTTAAGTCAACTCCATAAAGATAAGTAGGTAGTACACAACTCTCCATAAACACACAGTATGAGGCCTTCAGGCTGATAACATCATCCCAAACAGGAAGCCCTGGCCACTTGAAGCATGAAATACCACTACAACTGTGTCATCATCGTCCTGGTATTAATGGAACATGGGGCTTGCAAGTGAGCATAGAGATAACTTTCCCTCATCACAAGATTCAGGCCCATTCTACTATCTTCAAAAGTTATTCTTTCATGTTTTCAAAATTGTGAATTCTGAATTATTGGAAATGTCAATATGATTTCTGTGAACATGTTTTAAACGTAAATAAATGAGGACGAAAGTCTATTTTAAAACAAATGCCATTTATGGCAACAGATGATATCCTTGCATCACTAATCATTCACTGAATGGACAGCATACGACTTAATCATGTTGATTGGAAATGTAAAATCTAATGCACAATGAAGTTGATCCTTTTTTCAAGACTCAGAAAATGATTCCATCATTTGAAATATGCTCAAATCTGATGGTATTTTCCATTCCAGGTCTATACCAACCTTGCAAAGAGCCCCATTAGTTTTCATTACCAATTACACCACCTACTCACGAACATTGTCTCCATATGCTGATGGTATAACTTTATGTGAACTATTTCAAACAGGCTCAACAATAATGTTTCTCGGCACATTGCCAAATAGGCTGTCATCATCGTTATGACGACCAAAATACACTAATGACATACTGGTAGCCTTGGAAAATAATTGATAACCACATTTGGGTAAACTTGAAGAGAACCAAAACTAATCTTCAATCTAATACAAACGAGGTCATTTAAAATCCGTTTTCACAAGGCTATGAAGAACCCATCTTCTTCCTGAAGTATGTGGGACAATTTCTGATGGAAGTAGGAGGTCACCATGTCCCTTGTGTAAAATATTGTCAATAGAGAAATAAGAGGAAATGAAAAAATGATATTGATAGTGTTGAGCTTAAATCTCCTGCCTATCTGTCCATGCAGGATGGGCCTGTTGTGTGCACCTGTTTACTCCGCAGACGCAATGAGATTACGGCAGCCATTTGCAAAAAGAAAAACACCTGACTTTTCAATCTCCAACTGACTTTAAATTCATGAATTCTTGAAGATAAAAAAGGCTTTCACGTTACTTTTGGAATCTAACAACCAACCTCTTGGTTGACACTGCTTGTACACCCAAAAAAAATATGATAATTATGTGATACAATGAAAAGAAATATAAAATAATTCAACCAGCTGCTTAGATTAACACTTCTCTGATTGAAAAACTGAACTAAATTGGCTAAAATGTCAAATCACAATTCAACCTCAGACATGACTATTCATTACAAGTGCACAGTACACACAAATACATTCCATTCCTCAACACAACGCTATGCTCAATACATTGTTGGTCTGAGCAATGTATGGTTATGTTCTCAGCTAAGTCAGGGTGGACCAGACAATCAAGTGATAGACATCCCAGGCAATGATCTAGACAATGTGATGACATGCATCAAACATGTTGGTGACCCTGAATACCGAATCCTATAGTCACCTCGCACAAGCATGATCCTACTTTAACACATTCCAACCAAAGTCATAGTGCTAGGTTAGCTTAGTGGAATGAGGCCACCAATGCTCATCTGATAACTTCAACAAGGAACTCTCTCCAACCTCTTTGTAATATCTTTAACATACTATGTAGTGACTCAAGGTAAAGCTATAGCTTTCCAGACGATCAGCTACAGTGTTGTCTTGTTGGAAATACAAGAAGTCGCGATCTAAACGACACATGCATGTCGACACACCTATATGTGATGTTGAAAACAGTTGTCAATACTATTCAAAAATTCACAAGATTTTTCCACTAAAAATTCCTGTTTACATCAGCTCTCTGTGCAGCTAATATGCATGTAATGCTGAAAGGAGTGAATCGGAGAAAGTCTTTTTATCAGAAGTCAAGCATACCATGCATCACTTACATTCCCTTTGATGTACTTCAGTAGAATTTTACATCAGTTAGCCATAATAGATGTAAATCGTTAATAAAGTTCCTAAATTCTTCAAGAACTGATTATGTTTAGATATCTTATTTCAAAGATGGAAACACATCTTTTGCTGAAACTAGCTGTATAGTGTATCTGTTTAGAATCTTGATCTCTTATCTTCAGTCTTTACATTTCCCAAGACTTATCAAGTCATTAATACCTACTTAAAAGAAGGGCAATTTATTCTAACTGCCATCCTTAACTCAATGAAGGAAGTCCGTGTAATCAAGTGATGGTTCTTCAGTAAAAAAGAGAAAAACCATCAGACAGGAACAAGAGCCATTCCTGAGTGAAATGACCACGACAGGTAGTGAAAATTTCATCAAGAACACTCAGAGCCTTTCATACAAAGTGGAAAAATTGGGGGCTTTAATGGGGCCATTTTACCAGCAATAATCTGATAAGCACGAAATGGCGGCAACATTCTTCTTCACTTCATTATTTATCGTCACAGAACAGGTACCTGTGCATGGTCACCCAAAACAGGTGTAAACAATAATCTGCCTTCCTGCCTTTATAGAAACCTTCAATAGTTTGAAAGTAATTCTCTTAAATCAAAGACAGCATTACACCAACACTTAATGGTTAAATATGTGCTGGATTCTCAGATCCCCTGCATTGAAAAATGCCATTTGAAGTTCAGTTATTTGGGGGTTAAATTATTCCTAATGGATACCTGAGTTGTTAACTGTTATATCGCAAGCTTCCATGAATAATAGTGTTTACCTGCAATATTGCACCTACTGCATACATTCAACAGAAAATCATCATTTCACATTCAACTGCAGTCTCATACATCGGGAGCTATGCAAAGTATCAATTATTCCAGAACACCTGCAAACTTCAAAACACATATTAATTACCACCTGAATTGTCCCCAAGTAAATTCTCTGGCTGATTTTATTCAATATGTTTTTCACATGGTCAGAGCAGAGCTCACATTTCACCGACAGTTTCAAGTCTGAATTTCAACCAGACATACAACAGCAAATATGTTGTCAGGTAATCTGACACGCAAGCAAGCAAACAATTACAGCACATTTCTTCTCCATGAAAACAATACGAATCCACCTCCTAAATAGTGGAAAAATATACAGAGTAATTTTTCAAATATAATCAATTAAACTTCTTTCAAGATAGTTAGAGAAATCTTCAGCCACGGAGCAACCCTTGAAAAGTTCATCTGGCATAAGTATTTGGAGGTCATCGAAATGATTTACTATTCTCTCATTCTCACAATCACTCATTCTCTCACACTTGAGCAAGCACACACATGGACATGCACGCACATGCACACACACAAGATTCATGCAAATACATGATGTTTATGTGAGTGAGTATGGTTTTATGCCGCTTTTAGCAATATTCCAGCAATATCACGTCGGGGGACGCCAGAAATGGGCTTCACACATTGTGCCCATGCAGGAAATCAAACCCGGGTCTTTGGCGTGACAAGAGGACGCTTTATCCATAAGGCTACCCCACAGCTCCTATAATGTTTATGGATGGATGTGAAATGTGAAATGGAGAGGTTATCAAACATCCTCCATATACTGGACAGATCATAACCAATGGTGAAATCATGAAAGCAAAGAAATTGGATAAAATATCATCTGTCATGTCTGCAGTGTTTAATGTCAAGCCAGAATACAAAGAGTTTATATGGTGGAGCTTCTGGTCTGGATAACATTACTGTTCCAGTTTCACAGACCTTCAACATTACTAACACTCATATATTTAGACAGATGACTGGCAACACACAAGTAAACAGGAATCTCCAATTTTTCAGATAAGCAGGTCCATTAAGTAAGAACTTCAAAACAGGCAACTTGATGACAAAAACACAAAACATAACGCATAACAATTTGTATTCAGAATGTTAAACCAATAAAACATCTTTAAATGCTGCCTGCAGGTTCCTTTATCAGTTTGAACAAATGTCACTTCCTTTTTCTGCCCAAAAGCAAAAGTCAGTCATGGATTCAAGGTGAACATACTGACATGCATATCGGTTGAGAACCATAATGTTACAAAATCCCTTAACATGGAACAGATTTTTAACATGTTAATTTGTTATTTATCTCTGCACTCAACAACATTTGAAATGTCATCTGGTTGAGAAAGTTTCAGATATCCAAATTCAAACAAGGTAGAAACCTAAAAACGTCTCTTACCAGTTAAACATGTCATTTTCATAATCTTTGGAAAATATATATTTATCTTTCCTAACAATACTTACATAACCATAATGTCTTAATGTAAAACAAATAGGTGGATGTAACTTCCCTCGGAACATTATGTTAAAACTTTTGGACTTATGAATATATTCTGATGGTATATCAGTTTGGTATTTGAATCCAGGAGACAAAAGTTTCACTAGCATCACTAGTAGGCTTATAAATGTACGTCATAACAATTTGTTCTACGGAATCAGCACAGTAGGATTCAGAGCAAGTGTACTATCATCAAATATGATAAAACGCGATATGCACACACATTTAAATCTAAAGAAAACCTAAAAAAACGTCTTCCACCAACCATGACAAATTGACTCATTTCCTCTCCTCCTTCACAGTGTTCAGTCACTGTCAATCTGTGAATGGAACCAAACACTTCTCGAGGAAAGGTCTAAAGCTAATCTAATCACAAACACGGAGCTTGACAAGAAAATGTCTGTCTTTTGGCTTAACCAGAAAAGGCAACAACTATTATAACTTGACCTCTTTAAATATTGATTTCCATTAGAAAAATCACATTTTTTAGGTGAAAAAGTCATTTGCAATCTGCCTATTACTGCTACTGGTAGGACTGTGGCTTTAAGCCTTATACTTGCCAGTAATGAGCTATTAACCAAGAAGGGCATCTTCATATTGCTAGACCCAACATGCAGACATCTACAGTAAGAAGAGCATTATTTATTACACTGAAAACTAATTCTTACAAATTGATTTTCCAATTTTATCTCTTAAATCTCATTATACCAATCAATATATGATGTGGGTGGAATAAAAAAATGGTCATCTTAAAAGAAATTATACCCTAAAAATAAATCAGATTAATTATAATCTGGCCCAGAGGGTTGTACTAGAAATATGTTGACATTCAGGGCCATTAAAGATGTGTGTGTCTTTGACAAGATAGGATCACATTTCAGTCTCTGTGGAATTCTTATTTGCCATGCAAACTGTAATAAGATTTTTTAAAAGTATTTCAGTCACATTTTACTATCTCAGCTTACTGTGGGAGGAAAGGCACACAGGAGATCCACAAGCCATGGCTGACAAGCAAAAGGGCATAGTAGGTCGACTCTTTGATTGGAACTCATAGTGTAATGCTGCAGTTTTGACCACGGCACTTGACCCAGAATCCGCTGGATGAGGCTACAGTCAAAATTGACCCAACAGGTCATCTGCAATGCATGTATCTCAATTTTTTGTCTAATCATTGGTGTTATCATGACATGACCACGGTCCACTTGTACAAAGCTATCTTAGCGCTAATAAGATCATAACTCCCATACTTTAACATCATCAAAGCGCTAAAATCGCTTTGTGGATCCAGGTGAGTGGATCCAGGTGAGCTCCAGCATCTGGTGACATCATCAAATACTAACACCTACCTGAACAGGAGGAATCCAAGGGCAGTCACAGCAACTCTCCGGACATCGTCGTTGACATCACTGACCTGGTAAACACACACAAGTAACCATCATTAATCAACAGGATATATTTACCAGTATTCAAGTTAGGTAGGTGATAGAAAATATGTATTCTGGCATGATTTTGCCAGATACTCAAGTTTGACTATGTGCTTCCTGGTACACTGTAGATAGGAAACAGGATCAGGAGAGATACATGGAGTGAAAGATAGAAACAGTGATGGGAAGGACAAACAGATGGACAGTTGCAAAATGATTGACAGCTGCTGAAAACACACTGATGGGAACTCCATATACAGAAGCCTCTGCTTGGTACGAAACTTTGGACTTCCTCAAAGGACAAAAAAAGACTAGTCATGTGAACTAACCTGAACAGAACATTTCTATCTGTGAACTATTTCCCATCTACCCAGGAGTAAACACAGTTGTCCAACATGGCAATGTCTTGGTTTAGATTCCAGCAGTAAACACAATTGTTCAACATGGCAATGCCCTGTTTAGGTTTCATCAGTAAATACTTAGTGTTCAACATGACAATGCCTTACCTCAGGTTCCAGCAGTATATACTGTTGTACAACATGACAATGCCTTACCTCAGGTTCCAGCAGTAAACACTGTTGTACAACATGGCAATGCCTTACTTCAGGTTCCAGCAGTAAACACTGTTGTACAACATGACAATGCCTTACCTGAGGTTCCAGCAGTAAACACTGTTGGACAACATGACAATGCCTTACCTCAGGTTCCAGCAGTAAACACTGTTGTACAACATGACAATGCCTTACCTCAGGTTCCAGCAGTATATACTGTTGGACAACATGACAATGCCTTACCTCAGGTTCCAGCAGTAAACACTGTTGTACAACATGACAATGCCTTACCTCAGGTTCCAGCAGTAAACACTGTTGTACAACATGACAATGCCTTACCTGAGGTTCCAGCAGTAAACACTGTTGTACAACATGACAATGCCTTACCTGAGGTTCCAGCAGTAAACACTGTTGTACAACATGACAATGCCTTACCTCAGGTTCCAGCAGTAAACACTGTTGGACAACATGACAATGCCTTACCTCAGGTTCCAGCAGTAAACACTGTTGTACAACATGACAATGCCTTACCTCAGGTTCCAGCAGTAAACACTGTTGTACAACATGACAATGCCTTACCTGAGGTTCCAGCAGTAAACACTGTTGGACAACATGACAATGCCTTACCTCAGGTTCCAGCAGTAAACACTGTTGTACAACATGACAATGCCTTACCTGAGGTTCCAGCAGTAAACACTGTTGGACAACATGACAATGCCTTACCTCAGGTTCCAGCAGTAAACACTGTTGTACAACATGACAATGCCTTACCTGAGGTTCCAGCAGTAAACACTGTTGGACAACATGACAATGCCTTACCTCAGGTTCCAGCAGTAAACACTGTTGTACAACATGACAACGCCTTATCTCAGGTTCCAGCAGTATATGCTGTTGGACAACATGACAATGCCTTACCTGAGGTTCCAGCAGTAAATACTGTTGTACAACATGACAATGCCTTACCTCAGGTTCCAGCAGTATATACTGTTGGACAACATGACAACGCCTTATCTCAGGTTCCAGCAGTATATGCTGTTGGACAACATGACAATGCCTTACCGCAGGTTCCAGCAGTAAACACAGTTGTACAACATGACAATGCCTTACCTCAGGTTCCAGCAGTATATACTGTTGGACAACATGACAATGCCTTACCTGAGGTTCCAGCAGTAAACACTGTTGTACAACATGACAATGCCTTACCTCAGGTTCCAGCAGTATATACTGTTGGACAACATGACAATGCCTTACCTTAGGTTCCAGCAGTATATACTGTTGGACAACATGACAATGCCTGACAGATAAAGAGACAAGATTGATGAGTGAAGTATGGACGAGTATGATGTGAAGGACAAATGGAGGCCGAGATTACATTCTGTCAGGTGAAGTGATTCTGGTAAAGACAGCAACTGTTTACAGGTAAACTTGGTTACAGGAGTGAGTGAGTGAGTTGGGTTTTATGCCACATTCAGTTTCAGCAATATTCCAGCAATATGACAGGGGGACCCCAGAAATTTAGTGACAGGAGCAGTGATCTACAGGTCAACTGCCTATGGTTTGGGTTAAGACAGCAATGACTTTCCAGTCATCTGTATTTGGTTCAAATGACAGAAGTGTGGTCGCTTAAATCACTTGCATTATATCAATGACATATTCCCTGAATGTGTGTTGTGCTAGCTGTACAAAGTTAAATGAAGGACGAGGTAGGAAAAGTGTCTTTTATGGCCTACAGGATCTATTTATGAGTAGGAGAACTTTCAAAAATTGTTATGAGCATTTTCATTCATTCATCCCTTGCACCAACTTCCTTCAAAGTAACGCTGCTCCACTCCAAACACATGTACTAAAAGGCTCACAGAAGCTCTATATTTTCCCTAAAATCACATCGCTCCACATTGGAAATAGCTGCTGTTGAAGTTAATAAAAATGTAATTTTTTCCTTGATTATAGCCATATTTGTCTGAAATGCTCATACCAATATTTTAAAGTTTCCAGTGGGCAAAAAAATGGCCATTACCATGCCTCCCCCATTACAGACATGATTACACAAGCAGCTAGTTCTTCCAATCCAAGTCAAGGTTAAGTGAGATGGCAGAATCTATCTTTAAAGTTCTTGTCTTGTAACCTTCATCGCAAAGCTAACAGAACAATGTTTAGGTTTCCATGGCTCTCAGAAATGAAACTGCTTTGTACACAGCACAGTTAAACTTTCAAGGTTTCTGTAAAGTGGTCAAATCCTCAAATGGAAATATTCCTAAATGGAAAGACAGACATATAGTCCTCTTAATGGGATGATGAAAGAACTGAAAGACAGATATATAGTCCACAGAATGGAATAATGGATGAACTTGGAGACAGGTGTAAATGTATAATCCACTGAATGGATAAACTAAGAGACAGATATATAGTCCACAGAATGGAATAATGGATGAACTAGGAGACAGGTGTATATGTATAATCCACTGAATGGATAAACAAAGAGACTGATATATAGTCCACAGAATGGAATAATGGATGAACTAGGACAGGTGATATGTATAATCCACTGAATGGATAAACTAAGAGACCACAGAATGAGGATATAATCCACTGAATGGATAAACTAAGAGACTGATATATAGTCCACAGAATGGAATAATGGATGAACTAGGAGACAGGTGTATATGTATAATCCACTGAATGGATAAACTAAGAGACTGATATATAGTCCACAGAATGGAATAATGGATGAACTAGGAGACAGGTGTATATGTATAATCCACTGAATGGATAAACTAAGAGACAGATATATAGTCCAAGAATAATGGATGAACTAGGAGACAGGTGTATATGTATAATCCACTGAATGGATAAACTAAGAGACAGATATATAGTCCACAGAATGGAATAATGGATGAACTAGGAGACAGGTGTATATGTATAATCCACTGAATGGATAAACTAAGAGACAGATATATAGTCCACAGAATGGAATGGTGGATGAACTGGGAGACAGGTGTATATGTATAATCCACTGAATGGATAAACTAAGAGACAGATATATAGTCCACAGAATGGAATAATGGATGAACTGGGAGACAGGTGTAAATGTATAATCCACTGAATGGATAAACTAAGAGACAGATATATAGTCCACAGAATGGAATGGGATGAACTGAATGGAGACAGGTGTATATGTATAAACTCCACTGAATGGATAAACTAAGAGACTAGATATATAGTCCACAGAATGGAATAATGGATGAACTAGGAGACAGGTGTATATGTATAATCCACTGAATGGATAAACTAAGAGACAGATATATAGTCCACAGAATGGAATGATGGATGAACTAGGAGACAGGTGTATATGTATAATCCACTGAATGGATAAACTAAGATAAAGTCCAAGAGACAGATATATAGTCCACAGAATGGAATAATGGATGAACTAGGAGACAGGTGTAAATGTATAATCAGAATATAAACTAAGTCCACAGAATGGAATAATGGATGAACTAGGAGACAGGTGTATAAGATAATCCACTGAATGGATATAAGAGACAGATATATAGTCCACAGAATGGAATAATGGATGAACTAGGAGACAGGTGTATATGTATAATCCACTGAATGGATAAACTAAGAGAATATCCACTGAATGGATAAACTAAAGAGACAGATATATAGTCCACAGAATGGAATAATGGATGAACTAAGAGACAGACAGGTGTATGGATGATAGTATAATCCACTGAATGGATAAACTAAGAGACAGATATATAGTCCACAGAATGGAATATGGATAACTAGGAGACAGGTGTAAATGTATAATCCACTGAATGTATATAGTCCACAGAATGGAATAATGGATGAACTAGGAGACAGGTGTATATGTATAATCCACTGAATGGATAAACTAAGAGACAGATATATAGTCCACAGAATGGAATAATGGATAAACTAAGAGACTGATATATAGTCCACAGAATGGAATAATGGATGAACTAGGAGACAGGTGTATATGTATAATCCACTGAATGGATAAACTAAGAGACAGATATATAGTCCACAGAATGGAATAATGGATGAACTAGGAGACAGGTGTATATGTATAATCCACTGAATGGATGAACTAGGAGAAACTAAGAGACAGATATATAGTCCACAGAATGGAATAATGGATGAACTGGGAGACAGGTGTAAATGTATAATCCACTGAATGGATAAACTAAGAGACAGATATATAGTCCACAGAATGGAATAATGGATGAACTAGGAGACAGGTGTAAATGTATAATCCACTGAATGGATAAACTAAGAGACAGATATATAGTCCACAGAATGGAATAATGGATGAACTAGGAGACAGGTGTATATGTATAATCCACTGAATGGATAAACTAAGAGACAGATATATAGTCCACAGAATGGAATAATGGATGAACTAGGAGACA